GAATAGAAGGAAATAAGTATGTTTAGTATGCTAAAATTGTTATTATTTTTTATATCCTATGGAACAATGCGAAAATAACCCAATTATTTTGCCAGTAAACTATAAAGAGGATTACATTTCTCCTTTCTTTTTTTACTATTTATTGTCTACTATCTCCATTTTTAAGTAAAGAACAACATGGTAGTTGTGGTTTGGTTTTGTTTTGTTAGAGATGATCTTTGACTTTGCAAACCTGCATTCCTTTCACTTAACAGCTTTGGCCTGAAACAAATATAGGAACCCTGCTGATTTTTATTCCAACATAGCCCTTTTCTTCCTGCTTCATTCCCATGCAGTTCACATTTAATATCTAAACCTTCCTCAAGGACCAAATCCTTTCAGCAACCTCAGGGTAAGGGAGAGATGCAATTTCTAAAATTTCCACGGCATTCTTCTATTTCTTGTCTTTATTTATTTACCCCCGTCCTTCCTTTCTTTTGTTCTCACTTATGTTTCTTTTACCTGATAATTTAATGAACACCAGCATAGGAATTCAGAAAACTCAACCATTGTTAATAAAGAAGTCACAGTCATGTCATGCATCTGACTTCATGACAGAGCATTCTCCATTTTTCTAGTGGAGGTAGTTGTTTTCATTGTTAGTCTCATTTATAGCAAGCCAGTGCATGCACTCTATAAATACTAGTAGCAGAAAACTTCCTTCACAAGGTGAAAGTGTAAGCCACATGGCAAGTCTCTGAGCATGAGTATTCACTGCATGGCAGCTTTTAAACTGAAAAAGAGTAATGGATTTGCCTTGCGTAACAAAATCTACTAGTTAATGTCATTTTCATTAAAACCGACAGGAACTTAATCTCAATGGTACTGGAGAAAAAGCCTGGCCAAGTCTTGGACTGGAGATGGGGCCGTATGTGCCCTCACCATACCTCAGAGAGGTACTAAAGCCTACTCGAATAAAAAGCCCAGCACCGAGCTGTGCTGATTGGCATGATGCAGATGAAAAGACATCAAAGATCACTAGAGGACTACAGATCAGCTTTCTCTGAGAGAAAAAAAAAAAAAAAGAAGATAGACAGCAAAAATGTTCACAGGATACTTTTCCTAGAATAGATTGAACAGTGTGAAATTCAGCTAGTCTAAGAATACACAGTATACCAAAAACATCTGAAAAACATGCTGCTGCTGTCTGATTGAGTTTTACCAGCAATCAGTTTGAGGGCAAGACAGAGAACTAGTATTTCTAATTTTCTGACTCTCTTTGAAACAAAGTGACAATGATTTCAGACGAACAAAAATATTATTATACTGTGGTTTTTCACATCACTGTGAAGTCTGAGATACTGAAACAAAAATAAATAGAATGAATGTCATAAATAATAGCTTTAGCCCACTATGACATCTGTCACCTTGGTACACCCTTTTAGAGCAAAACGGTTATGAGAGAGGGTAGACTGTAATTCCCATTGATACTGCACTGAGCCTTTTGGTCTGTTGGACTAGGTATAATAAAGGTATTTCTGCTAGCAGTACGGTAGTGACAAGCACACAAGGCAAAATGCAAAGTCAATGAAATCAACATCTTTTACTGCAAACTTGCTTAATTTCTTTCCTCTTAGGCAAAGATATTTCTGCTAGGCAAGTGGATGGCTAATAAAGTGGGGCATTCTTCATTATTTCCAATAAAGTTTGAGTAAGTGATTTTTGTTCTAAATCTAGTAAAATGTCATGACTATTTTCATAGCACAGTATGTTACTTTAAATACAACAAAAATAACAGGAGAAGCAAACAATTCAAGCACTTAAGAAAGGCCTAATGTTTTGTAGTCATCTTACTCCTACATTATTTGAAAGCCACAAAATAGCTATTGCCTATGCTAAAATAAATTCTCCTTTAAAAAAAAAAAAAATCAACTATTTAGATTTCAATAAGATTTCATTTTCCACCATATGGACTATACAAAGTATCTTAGCAATTAAAAAAAGAAAAAAAAAAGAATTAAAAACATCCAACTGTTATCTGTTTGTTTGATGGAGACCTAGGAAATGGCTTAGCCAATTTAAACAATTTAGTTGGGTTTTTTTTAGAAAATAAATACCCATGCAAGCTGACAATATGAAAGGCAGGCTTCAGCTGAAAACAAATTAAAACAGTCTAGTTATTCAAATCCCTTAAAACATCCAGAGATTCACATCAGCAATAACTCGTTCTCCATGACGCACGGCAGTACTAGAGAATGCTGCTGTGCTCTATGCAGCTTTTGGCTTCAGCCTTAAAAATACTGATGGTAGGATTACCACTGTAGCACAGGGGTGCAGGGTCAAGACTCAATAAACTGAACTTTTGCCAACAGAAACATCTATGTTGCCACAAAATAACTTCTCTGATGAATCTGTTCATATATTGACACTCCTACTCTTGGTAACTCCGAAGAGAAAAAATTGAACAGGTAGAAAACCTTCCCTTTCAAGATGTTTGCAGCTTATTTTAGGTGAGTGAGGAAAAACATGCAAAAGACAATGGAAACAGGAAAAAAGAAAATACGCCAGCAGCTGCTATATGCAATAATACTGTGGTGGCTCTATGCCTTTTCCTCCTCACTCCAAGAATTCCAATGTTTTAAATAGTAGCTATTAACATGAATTAACTCTGCACAGATTAGTCAAGTACAGCATGAGAAGACTGCAGTTCTAAGCTATTTTGGATTTATTCAGTTAATTATGATTCTAGGTTATCAGACTGAATAAGCACAGTACTTCCTGTTGGAAACACCTATTCTTTGATAATTACATTCAGTAAAGTACTACACCATGTGTCAAGGTGCTGAGTTGAAATTCATTAATAAAAATCAGAAGGAAAACCTTTAATTAAAGCAGAAGGAAATACTATTTGCATTCAAGGAACAACATATGAATGTACCGTGCTAACGGTTAAAGAAAATCACTTCTGAACAGCAACCTGATTCAGTCATTTTGAAATCCAGGCGCTACAGTGCAATGAATTGATCAGTTTCCTGAATGCTGCCCTCAAAATCCTGAAGAACAGCTAAGATCAAGAATTGAAGCAGATGCATCATAGTCTCCAGGAAGTAATTTATAAGCCTGTGCTTTGACTATGTATATGAAACATACATCTGACTTGTCTCACTGTGCCATAAAATGTAAATAATCCAGATGAATATACACAGTGTACTAAAAAAAAAATAAATAAATCAGAGCATTCTTCACTTGGTGCAGCAGTAAAAGAAACCTTTTCTAATAATATATAGCTATATTAAGTTTTCTATTTGGAATGTTAGGCATTCAGGTATGGGAGCAGGTGGTGTACTCCTAGTTATCACATTCACCTTTCAACTTTCTGGATTTGTAAAACAGGAACATTTCTATTATACACACTTGGTAATCTCAGATTGCCATCATGTACTCTTGATTTTGAATTCAACTACCTCACAGGGAAGAATTTAGCACAATTTTCTAACATGTACTGGCTAAAAAGAAAATGCAGGATGTCTATATTCCAGAATATAAGTGCTAGAGTCCTAATTTCTATTACTCAACAGAAGGACAGCCTGGAAAATAGTTAGACAAGTATTCCCTATCTGTGGATCAGTAAAACCTCAGATGCTGATTCTACACAAAGCCAGAAGCATGGCTGAACTATCCAAATTTTGTGAGGTTTAGTGATCTTTCCAACAAACGTGAGTCTGGTTACACTGTGACTGAAGATATCTTTCTGGGAATTAAGAGGAGCAAAACCAAGGTGTGTCTCTAGAGAATCTAGTATGTAATAAATCTGCAACCAGCTATCAGATTGGTGGTGTCAGGGTATTTGTAGGCAGGCTGTACACATTACTATACAGCACTGTACGGTACCTGCATTTCTGCCTTCCTATCCACATTGTGAATGTTATAAAAACTTCTCTGACAGTCTGTGGTGTTGAATTTTTTGAGCATTCACACTTCCTGTATGACAGCATATTCAGGCACAAATACACACAGACATGAACTAAATGAATAGAGATCAAGTGCATCTTAGGAGGGAAGTACTAAGCTTCCACCTCAGGTCTCTTCAAAATAAAATAAAATTTATATAATATAACCTATGGAATGTCTGGCAGAAGTGGGGAATGAAGACTGTGCTTGCTTAGATGCCAATAGCCCAGGCCATGAGAAGAAATCTCCAACACTAAGTTCTTATGTAAACATAGTAATCTTTCTCTCTCCATCCCCCCCCCGCCTTTTTTTTTCCTTTTCTTTTATCTTCTTTGATTTTCTTTTCTTTCCATTAAACCATTTTGGGTATCCTTATTTGCCTTCTGACTGTGTATATAGCTCTCTCTCTCTCATGCATAGCTTAATCAAGACTGTCAAGAAAAAAACAACCACCAAACACACAAAGTAGTAATGGATAAATAAAATGGATGGTCTAGAAGTGTATTTTGATGCCTTTATATAGGATCTGGGCATTCTAATCCCTCCTTTCTTTCTTTCTTTCTTTAGCTATTTAAGCGTCTGAAGAGAGGTTCAACTCACGGATCACATATGCACACTTTTGTTGAGCCATACAGGATACACTTATTTCGTTCTGACATCTAGGCTTTGAAATTTTGACTTTGGTATGTTTTGACTTTGGTATGTTTGAATTTCCGTTAAGCTCAGTGTCTTATTGGCTGATGCTTCTTTGCAATACAAACTCTGTTGTGCAACTATACTATAAACTTTTTGCCTTTCTGCTAAGTCCTGCAAGAGCTACATTATTTTCTGGAAGCTAGAATACTCTTCTGAGCTGTACACAAGCTGTTGAACTCTGGTGGCACTTTAAGCTGTTGCCAGAATAACAGACTCTCACTTTTTCATCTTAGAAATTCCTGTAAAAAAAAGCACATGCAGTGCACACACATGCATGTACAGACAAATAGATATCAGTACTGTCTGTATCACTCCAGCTCTTAGTATTTAAAGACACTGGGAAAGACGGACAGAACAGACAAGACATTTCTTACCATGTGCCACCCAGCCATGTTTACACTGATCACAGGTTCTCAGGTTAATCTTCCCTGGCTGAAAACATTCACATGTGCAATTTACCAGTGTACAGCGGATGGCCTGGAAAAAGAAAGAGAAAACACATATTAATGTCCTTCTTCCTCCGTGTACAAATTTGTTGTGAGTGCTAGAAGGGTATTACCTGTATTGCAAAAATCAGCCTTCTAACATTGAAACCATTGCTCATTCTTTTAAGTAAAGAATCATTTTCTTTCAAAAACATGCATCAGTATCCCTGAGCAATGGCAACTAAAGTGCTTATTCAATAATAGCATAGTCTGTTGTCCCACGGAGATGAATACATTCCTAAAGACTTTAAAAGAATTGCTCTATTTCCTTTAGGGGAAAAAAAAAAAAAAAGTGGTACGATGAGGATTCTGTAGGTGTTCCACAAATTTCCTGGTTTTGCATCAACTGCCTGAAGGAATATGTTGCTAGTGATGTCTTACAACAACAGTGTATCACCCTGATTAAAACCAAGAGTAAAATGAGGAAATAAAAACATACAGAAAGGAAAACTACAGATCTCTTTCCCCTTTCCCCATGGCATCCAAAGGTTATTCTCAAGTTTCGTTTTTAGGGTTCACATAAGATACAACTCCGTCACAGAAAGGAATCATGCATTTAATGTGTTCCCAAAATAGGATAAGGTGATCAAGGTACAAGAATAGGACTGGTTCATAAAACATCCCATAACTTTTATTTGCATTTATCACTTTCTCCAATATCTAGGCACAGCCTTTTACCTCTTAGCACTCCCTATTGCTCAAACATGTATTTCTCTGTTTTGCAAAAGATGAAACTATTTCAAAGCAGTGATGCTAAAACACCAGTCTCATGCAGAGATCTAAAATATGCCTACAAAATACACTTTATTAATATCTCATCTTCCTTTTTAAAATTATTTTTAAAATTACATGTTTGTTTTAACAGGGGCTAGCTATGTCCACAGAAAAGTGAATATAAATTGAATGAGACTCTTTTTAATGTGTAACAGACATATGTTTTTAAATAGTGCAGAAGATGACCTGTGCACTTCAAACTGCTAGTAATAAATTTATGGCATGCATTTAGATGTAATTTGCATGGAGATTTCTGAGACAGAGAGGCTTATTCTGATCATTCACAGATTAACAATCTACTGTAACTACCAGAGCTGCCAGGAAAGGATATCTCTATAGATTTAGATGCAATCAATGATTACTTGGGGGCTAAGGTGGGGGAAGGGTGCTTGGTACCTCTGGCCACTGAGATACTGAAGCATTATGAAGGCTCTTGCCTTTTCCAAACAATTAACACACACACACACACACACTCTCCTTCCATACAAAAAAAAGTATTACTCTAACTATATGGTCATAAAGAAAACAACATTCAACTTTAACTTGGCCAAGCTAAACTCCTTGGCTGCTGACAATTAAAAAGGTTCAGAGTTATTTTAAATGCTTAATCTATTTACTTATTTATCTGCATCAGACAACAATTTAAAGCCATTTATAGTTCATAGATCCACTGAAAATCTGTATTTCTCTGACAAATTTCTGGTACAAAAGTCCTTTCTCCTTCCTATCCTATCTGCTTGTATACTATCTTTTACTCTCGAAAACCTAATGGGAAAAAAAAATCCTGCTAAATTATGCCTGACACTTCAGGACCTCAGTCCCAATGTCACCTGTCCAATTACTCATTAGCTAGGTTATAAAACACTGCTGTATGTATGTGTGATTAAAAGAATTAGTAATATGAAATATAAGGGTATCAAAGAAGTGCTGACCATGCAAGAATAATATATGTGTTTGTGGGTTATGAGAAAAAAATTCTCCTGAAAGGTCCTGTTTCATGTTCAATAGTTTATTGACTCAGTAATATATCAGGTCTCCTCTGGTCAGTAATGGTGTTCTTTCTCTAATATGTTCATTAATTAATGAACTCAGTAATTAATTGTACTGCAAGAAGGGCTTACAAAATGGTATTCTTATTTTACCATAAAAGGTTTCCTCACATTCACCATATTTTTTAAATCTCTGCAGCAGTCACACACATTTGTTATATTTTATGTTATTTTGTCTTGTTCATCTGTCACTTACAGTACATATAATAGCAGTAATACAGCGTACATACACATACTAGATGAAACTGTGTCATTTGGTAGAGTTGCTTTATTAAGGCTCATCATCATTTCCATTAGAACCCTACCTATTTTTGGCATAGAGGTTAACAGGTTGCCTGTAAAAATTGGATTCAGCTTGAACCTGAAATACAATGTTTCAGCCTAAGAGTGAGTTTTATTACACACATTCAAAAATGAGCCATTTAGCCATCATAAATTATAGGATAGGGGGAAAAAAGTTTAGAGTTACATGTTTCTTTCCCTCTTCCCTGAGTTAAAGACAGTCTTGATCGTGTAGAGTGTTGAAGGAGATTAACTAATTAGTAAGATTTCTACCTTTTATACATACGTCCCAAAAAAATCACACAATGTTTTTAGAAAATGGAAAATGTTGAATGTTGAAAATCTCAAGTAGAATCTACTCTGTACTTCAAAGATTCCTTTTTCACTTTAGTAAGTTAATCCAGAATCGTTGTAACTACCTCAGATCACAACAATATCCAACATGAAAACAGCGTAACTTGGTGGAGAGAAGATTCAAAATGCCAGGAATACTGGGTGCTCCTACACAGACGGATGGAACGTTAACATTCCTTAACACGAAAGAAAGCATTGTCTTTAAAGACCTGCACATCACAACCAACACATGTACTCAGCCTTGCAAAAATAGGCATCTGAACTGCTAACAGCATCTTTCTACTAGTTTTCAGCAGCATTTAGCTTAGGCGTACAAGTCATCGACGGTCTGTGCAACACGCTCAGGAATGGCCCAGGACGGCAGCGGCAGATGAGCGTTGCATGGATTCACAGAATCACAGAATCACAGAATCTTCTAGGTTGGAAGGGACCTTAAAGATCATCTTGTCCAACCGTCAATCTAACTGACAAAAATAGACACCCACACAACAAACAAGGAGCATCATCACTAAACCATATCTCCCAGCACCACATCAACCCGTCTTTTGAACACCTCCAGGGATGGGGCCTCAACCACCTCCCTGGGCAGCCCATTCCAGTGTCTGAGAACCCTTTCAGTGAAAAAATTTTTCCTAATATCCAGCCTGAACCTCCCCTGGCGTAACTTGAGGTCATTTCCTCTTGTCCTGTCGCCTGTGACTTGAGAAAAGAGACCGACCCCCACCTCTCTACACCCTCCTTTCAGGTAGTTGTAGAGAGCAATAAGGTCTCCCCTCAGCTTTCACGCAGCCCCGCCATTCCCTAGCAGCAGGATTCCAAGTTAGAGAGAGAACTGAAGTTCAGTGGGCTGGTTGGTGTGTTTGTTGGTAGCAGCGTGGATTGGTGTAACTGTGGTCAGACATCTGTTACCACTTAATTTGAAAGAGGTGGGGTGGGGAATAGGGATAATAAAAAGATCCTGGGTGAGTTTGCAGCAGCTAAATATTGTAGCCGTTGCTCAAACCTGTTAAAAAGTAGGTATAAAAAATCCAAGGGTGTAGCAATGCTAAACTTTTGCCAGAAAATGCTTCTGAAAGAGTACTGCTAGGTATTCCAGAGGTCATGAGCTGTAGTTCTGCCTTTGCAACATATTGCTAGAAAGTTTACATAATGGGACTCCATGTACTACACTATTTTGTACGGAAAGAAACAGAAATTTTTTTCTGATTAGGGTTTTCCTCAGAAACTCCTCCAAGAAAGACACAAAGAAAATGGCAGGAAGGAAAAAGAAAGCAATGACCATAGCGAGAGGAACAGTAAAATCAAGTGCATAGAGCCTCCCCCTGTACCAGCTGATAGGCAACCAGGTATTATTTAGATGACAGCTTGCAGGTTAAGGCCCTTAAGAAAGCAGCAAAACATGGTTTTCTACAGCTTCTTGAAAAGTGCCACTATCTTCTACCATGTCAGTGGTCTGCAGATAACAGGAGTTCTCAGACATTTTTACAGATCCCTTCCACTGAGTTCCTAACATAATGCTCTTTGCATTTCTACCAAAATCACATTGGCCCTTGAGGACCCGTGGAGGAAACGGACTGGATTTCAGTAGAAACATCTAAAATAGTTTACACAACTGATTCCTTAGATCTTAAAGCAATGCAATTAATGTTTAAAAGCAAAATACACATATACAGAAGAAGAAATTAATGGTTTTATAGTTGGCACTGAAATATTCAGAAATATCTTGCTGCTCTCTCTGAGATCTTCTTCCTGTAGAATGCAACACAGAAAGAAGGGAGCTCTGCCTATCATTAAAGCAAGCAATCTAGTACACCTATGTGTAAGTTTGTATGGCTAACATTAAAAGATGTTAGACCTGACTTCTGTGGGTTTCCCCCAGACCAAGGATATTCATTTAACATAGTTTGGGTGATTTAATTGTATCTAACAAGTAAATATTTTTCACATATTAATAGGAACAGCCTATTGCAGTAATGGAAAATCAATCTGTCTGGCTGTTTTGCAGAGTTTCCAGGAGATAAGAAGCAATAATGAACGGGATCAGAGTATTGGAACAGGGGAACACGCGAAAAAGAGATATGATTCCTCCTCTGGACTTCTTACAAGTCACCCCAAGAGACAGAGGCAGTTTAAAATGATGCAACATTCTGGAGAGATAGATAAATTTTGCGACTTCCTTTATCTTGAATTTTAATAATAAAACTAATAAAAATTCTTAATGTAACTTGTGACGAGGCTCCAAGAGTGCTGGGAGGTTAAACAGTGTCTTACTGAAATCTCAGCTACACCCTTCTATACAGGTCCTTGCCTCGTCCTTCTCATGTTCAAAAAAGTGTTTAAGCAATGCCTCCTATCAAACCATCCGTCATACAAGGGATCACTGTGCACCTGAATACATACCGGACTCAACTACACTCCTTCTCTTTGCACAGAAGTTCCAGCTACCTGTCTAAAGCATCTACTGTACACTTATCCTGCAGAGCTCACACACCCTAAACCCACTGTTACCAATCACAGGAGCACGAGGCTTAAT